AGAATTTCTCGTCTCACGAATGCGTTCAACGCGACGTCGCACGCGGGCAAATTGACGATTGTCGAACCCGGACGGGTCTTGCGAACTGACGTGCATAAAATGGTCACGCCACTCATTTAAGCAAGCTCGTTGTACATCAGGCGAGGCAGAAGAGTTTGGGCACAGATCATGCGCAACACGAGTGCGGTTGCGGCGAAAACGCCGCCGAATAGTGCAGGCAGCAGCACGCGGACAGCGAGCTGCGAGAGCTTCAAGGTTTTGTAACCAAGACGACCAAAACGACTGCTTGGCTGTGCGGACAATGCGGTGGAACTTATTCCTAGCCGATCTAAAAACAGTTTCAGTCCAAGTCTTGTGTCAGCGTTTGAAGCCTAGAAACAGCAGCATGTGCTGGAAGTGGCATTATTCGCCACAAGCAAGAAGAGCCGTAAAGGGCCTGGTCATTTATTCCTTCATCTGTTCTGATGTTTCTATTGATCCGCTGCGCTCGTTTGTTGGATTCATTTTTCGTTTTTTGATCCGACAGCCCGTCAAATATCTCTGCAAAGCTTGGACCTGCCGGTTGTGCGCTTTCTTGCATATCTCAGGTGGGTTGTGGATGGTGCAGTCTCCGAATCTTTTCTCAAAGCGGTCGACGACAAGTTTGCCTGTGGCGAGTGTGGCTCGTACTTGACGGAAGCCCGGAATGGGAAGGCCATATCATCCAGGAGCCGCGAGGCCGCACAAAGGCAGCGAGGAAACTCGTAGCAACAATTTGCCTTTTGTGGGTTGGATCTAAGAGAGGTATCGAGTTTCCAATGGATGACCAATCACGCGAGCTTTTTGAGACAATAGCGGGCCTATGGGGCTTGAACTTGGAGCAATCTCGGGACAAGTTCACAGTGTCGGACATTTGTGGAGAGGGGCAGTCGCCGCACATCGACCACATCAATCTCGAGGATTTGGCTGACTACAATCTGGATTTTCTGGATTTGGATTGTCAGAGTTCCGCAAAACAGAAGCCCAGACGTGTGGTGCCGACTATTTCTGTCGTTGTGTACTTCAACGCGGTTGGGGGGATTCGTTTTCCCTATGCACCTGACGAATTTGGGACGATTGCCGCAGAGCGCGGAAGGATCGCAGCTTTTGCCGCACCCAGGGCCTCCCTCAGAATGCAGCAGATGATCAAATGTTCCCCAAGTGCTAAGCCTGTGCAGAGGTAATGTTCGAGAATTACCGCGACAGCCAGCGGCCAGATCATGATGCGCTGGCTGCACACTATGGCGACTCTGTGGCAACCCTATGATTGCATTGTAGGCAATTGTAGGCTGTGCCGATCGCATCGTTCAGTGAAGCTTGTGCTTTTGTCGAGGTCTCTATTTCGACAGCCTGCCCAAGCGCATACTTGTGATGGGTGGCTCGTCTGCTCTTTGTGCACGGACCCGAGCTGTCCCCTGCTTCGGGGCCTCGACGAGAACCTGAGGTATCTTGGCGAACGAAACGCCGCCTTTCTCGGCCGATGGAACACGTTCCAAGATCCCGCCTCCAAGTTTGATCTACTGCCCTGGAACGGAACAGGACCCATTGCGCCACGACAATCCCAGTTACTTGGCACCCATGACATCTTCATGTTTCAGCGGCTGTGGAGCGCAACCCGAAAGACAACCAAGCTCAAATGAGACGCTGGCGCAGCTCAGGGTGGGGCCGGGTGTGTGCTCAGGTCTCAGGTGGTCCCCGGTCCCAAAAGGAACTCCCGGGGCCTCAGACATGAGATTTGAACGCACCAAGGTTACTGGGGCGCAGCAGAATTGGAGGAGATGGAAGAGCAACGTCGCCGAGAAGCGGAACAGGTCACACATACACGCGCACACACTTCTTTTTTTTCTCTCCCTCTCTCTCTCGCTCTTTGTTTCTGTGTGTGTGTGGGTGCGAGTCTGTTGTGCCATACATTCCATGTGTTTGTGTATTTGCGGTGAAAGCCATTCCTGTGCCGTCACCTAAACCGTACGAGGAGACATCAACACCTCAACGTATCACGCAGGTTAAATGTTCGGGACTCTCCAGCTCTGAAGAATGTTTCTCACAAGGTTTCGGGCTTGCTGCTGGGTTGTCTTCTCTCCACAACTGCCGATTGAAATGAACTCTAACACCGGCTGCGAGTGATTGCAATGATGTCTACAACAACCGAGTCGCCGAGTCGCTTGAGTAGATGTGCTCCTGTCGGGACAGGACAAGCTGAAGACGGCAACTTTTCTTCAGGGAGATTCCTTACTTCGCAGAGTTCATCGAAACGGGAAGACCTTGTTAGTGGGATTTTGGTCGGTACCCGAACAGATTCGTGCAGTTGGTCTCTGATGTTGGCAAGCCTGCGGAACCAGGTTGCTGTTGAAGTATCCACAAGCCTTGTGCAGCTGATGAATCATTTTTCACCGAGGATTTGATTCTTCTGCTGGAGGCTGTGAACCGTGTCGAGAATCTGTCGTCTCAGGGTTTGCCGCTGATTCTACGCCACATGTTCGCCAGAGAGTGATTTGTGCCAAGTAAGTAGATGCATTGTTGCCTCCTGCTTTAGGGAAACCTACTGTCACTTAGCCGTTTTGCGCAAACGGCATGAACACAAAGTAAATTAGACTGGAATTCCGCCGAGAATGTACAGTTGTCTCTCATTTGCAGAAGGATATGGTGGACCACAGTGGGGAGAAGGAGGTTCTCGTCGTAACTGGCAGGACACCTTGGATCTCAGTTGCAAGGGCAGCAGCATCCAGTCGGACTCTGAGATCTGCGCGACGTCGGTTTGTAGCTGATCGGACGTTGAAATACAAAGCAGGTCTTTTTCAGATATCCATAGTTGCTTCGTGCTTCCTTGATTGCCCAGTGCTTGCAAACTGTCACCTACAACAGTGCTGGACGCGGTAAAACACGAGAGTGAATTTAATGAGTGCGCCTGACGGAAGATCAGGTTCCATGTGCTGTGTCATTGCGCGCGCCTGTGACGCATAGATAGCAACTATGCAAGCGTTGTGCTCGCACACTGTCTTATTCTGAGTGGTTGAACATTCATCACAGGGCTTTCTGACAAGTTGATGTGGGATCTGATGAGTGCGCACCTCCAACAAAAGACGATCCGATGATGTTGCGTGCCCCAAAACGAAGTTGGGAAGCCTTGCATTATGGCCACGCCCATCGTGTATCAACTCTTATAGACATTACTGTAAGCCCAAAGTAGTAAGGGGGCTTTTGCCCTGAAGGAACCTGGCAGGGGAGGAGCTCTGCACTGTGCGGGGAGGCCTGGAAGAGAAAGTCTCGTGTCTCCGCGTCTCGGCAAGAGTGGTGGATTTGCGATGACGAAGATGGCGCAGAAGAGACTGCCCCAATCTATGTGTGTTTTTGTGCTGTCGGTTTGCTTGCTGGCTGACGCCACCTCGGGTTTGTCTGCTATCCCGAGGTTGTTTGTCGGCTCTTGTTTGTACAAGACGTGTGCACTATGCACATGTAGCTATACACACACACACACACCCGTACTCCTGACAGTTCTTAAATCTGCCGTTTCGTTGAGCGATCCCGGTTGAGGCGGAGATGAATGTTGAATGTTGATGTCAATGGGGGGGCATCATAGTAAGGAGAGGGTGGAGTAGTACTTAGACTGGGTGAGACAGCAGCAGCGTCGCAAGGGGATCGTTTGTTGGCTCTTTGTGGCGTCATATAAGGTTTTCTCGACACCCGTGTGTGCTTGCAATGCTTCGCTGTTTCTTATTGGGTCGTTAGCCCATGTTGGAATTTGACGCTGTGATCTGTCAGGATGGGAAATCAAGAAAGTGGTCGATCCGGAGGACAAGCACCACGCTTCGAGACTTCATTGCGGCAGCTTTCCCACCGCCTTCAATGGGGCTAGTGCATAGGTCCACAGGGCTATGAAGCTGCGTTTTCGAGAGACGTCCCAAATCCCTTAAACGCCTGTCGCAGAGTCTTGTCTTCCTTGGGTCTGTGAGATTCTATGATTCTATAAGCCCTCATGAGCCCGCGGTCAGAAGCCGAGGTCGTTCTCGTGCGGCCTTCTGGGCGTCTCATTGCACTGGACGGAAGTCACAGAGTTCAGGGAAGGTTTGTGCCGATTCTGCTTGACGCTTTGTAGACCTCACCAAGCCAGCATATATATATATATATTTCCAGGACCAAGATGACTCGCTCTTGCGTGACCTGCGACCGGGCTGCCTTGCCGACGTCAAGGCAGCCTTCGCCAAGGCCGCCTCCTAAGCCACTTTTCTCAGCCTAAAACCTGCAGCCTAGAGCCTAAAACGGCCTAACTGCGATATTGCAGGCGGACCTGAACAAGGACGGTTTCCTGGACAAGTCTGAGCCCCTTGACTCTGCGGTCTGCAGCACAGTGGCAGGAACTGCAGGCATCCTTCTCACCCGTTTTCCCTGGCACCGCCACGGGTGCTCCTGGCTGCTTCATGTGCCCCGCCCTAAACCCGAAACCCGAAAACCCGAAACCTAAGCAACGTGAGTCTAACATGAGACTTACCGGTTTAGGGGACCTGGCCGAAGCTTCAGCTCAAGCCGCAAGCTCCAAGGGTCAAAGAAATGCTCAAAGCCCTTGCCAAAGACCTGCCAATCATGTCAGATGGAGAAATTGAGCAAATTGAGCCTGGGCCAGAAAAATGGGTGTTGTTGGATGAGTTTGAAGTCGCGTGGCGGTCTTGCGAGCTTGCCTTATTCCGCGAGCCATACCAGTCCATCTGTGAGCCCAGGACAAGCTCTTTGATGCCGTGGACGCAAATGCAGATGGCCGGCTCAATGTCACTGAGCCTTCTCCGAGTCAGAAACGACCGAAGCGTAGATTCCAGTTGCAGCTACACCCTGCCCCAGATCATGCTCTCTGCCGTGTCAGTGCATTGGCATAAGCCTTGTGGTGACGGTTTGCTTTAGGAAGCTTTGTAGCCTGATGCACCCTGTATGTAGCTGAGGAGTTCATTGACTGGTGCTTCGGCGCGAAAACCATGGACGACGCAGAGCATTCGGACCTGCATCCTGGCGTCCGCTGGAATTTGGGGGAGCAAGAACTGTGCAAGGTCTCTTGAGCGTGGCTTTGCCACGGCTTTCGTAGCTTGCTCGGGCTCGGACCATCCACCTCGGATTGTGGTCAGGATTCACAGGATCGTATCTCGGGCTGTAGGGGCAGGGGTTGAGTCTGTACAGCCCACTGAGCACGAATGAATATATGAGAGACTAGCGCGTACTGAACCAAGAGATACCAAGAGCATAATTACCGGTGCTTCGGCCGACCCGGAAAAGTCTGTTGGTGGCACGTGGTTCCTTGAAGATAAGCCCGGATCGAAGACCCTAAACGCTGCAACACAAAAACAGTGACCGGCAGAATGTTCTGAGGAAGGGGCAGCTCGCGCGGGCGAAGGCGTCTCTGGTGAAGGGGCTTCCCCCTGCAAAGATCACACGCACTGGCAGTTCATAGTCCGTGCCCTTGACATGGTCGTCTAGATCAAGACGGGTTGTGGAAGGGTCTCAAAGTATCCAGTCTGAGGAGGTCCAAGGGGCTTCCTCGCATCAACTTCACTTCAGCTCAACGCACACTGTCAGGGATTGTTCTGCAAGCTTGGGCTGATTGCCGGTTTCAGGCGGATTGTATTGCTGGAGCAACATGGTTCACTGAAATGACGACGGTGATGTGCAAAGCTCCATCACTGTCGCCGTGTTTTTTTTTTCACTTGGAGTTCTGCATAAAGCGTCGCACCAGAACAAGGGCAAACACTCTACATTGGGATGTTGCGGAAGTGGCCTCTGCAGAACTCTTTTCAACTGCACCCAACGGAAGTGGCATCCTGGCCGGAGATTTTGAAGCAAGCGAAAATGTTGGGCATGTCAGCCACGGTTAGATGGGAGTGGGTCCGTTATTTTCGATACGATTCTTTTCTCTGCTCTTGGTTTCCACAGTAATGATTCAAGATGCTGTTAGACGATAGGGGGTTTGATGATAGCCTCCCGAGTCGTTCCTGAGCGAGGTTCGTCATGATGCAGGCTCAACTCGCTCTCCTGACCTTCTTGTAATCTCTCAATCCTCAAATACCAGACCGTATCATATTAATTTTCTTTCAATAGCATATATAGTCATATCTTACATGACCTTGATGTAGAAGAGCCCCCCCCGTCTCTTGGCTGCGCGTGCTGCCGGTCATCCGAAAATGCTATTGTGAAGATGCTCGGTGTTGCGGCCACCAGGCGACACTCATCCCTGTGTTCCGGCTCACAGCGATAAGGATAAGGATTAGCGTCAACCCGCATGTAGGCTTTCACTCGAGACGTTCACTCCATGCGGTGGGACATCTCGAGCCATCAGGCGGGTCATGCACATATCTCCCAGTCTCGCTGCCTCTTCTGTCTCTGTCTCGCTGTTTCTCTCTCTTCACCACTCTGCCCCTTTGGTCTCTCTCTCTTTCGCTCAGAACCTCTGTTTCACTTTGCCAGTCCTTTGCCCCGCTGGCCCTGGCGAGGCATCCTGCCGCCGTCGGGCTGAGGACTGCTCGATGCTGCTGGCACAGTGCCTCTTGGCACGGATGCTTCAGAGGCACGGGCTTCCCTTCCGAATTGGAAGCAGAAAAGCGGGGGTGGCGGCCGCCCATTCTTTCGTGATCTTAGATGGAGACAGAATGATCATACGAGGCCCAGCTTGCGAGTTTGCTCATCGACAGTTTTGCAGTCGCTGGCATCTGCAGCAACAGTGAGGCCCGAAGGGGTTCATGCAGCAGGTCAGGGGCCAGGGCGGTCTTTGCAATGCGTGTCGATCTGGTCTTTGATCTGCTGCTCCAGCCGATCGCCTTCCCACAAGCATTGCGTCATAGACGGAGTGAGCTCCGGCATGCCCCGTGTGTATCTTTGCGACACTCGAAAGGGGCCCCCCTGGCCTTGCTTTGGGCTGAAACGGTCACGGTCGTCTGAGCAAGGCGCCCGGCTGAGGTCTGGACCGACTCCTTTTCTGGAGCTATCCAGCCCGTCGGAGTGGTCGGTAATGGGTCGGAGTCCCCGACACCGTCCAATGTAGCTTGCCAGCTGTGGCGGCCCAGGGCTTAGGGGTCTAAGTGGAGCTTGCGGCGTGTAGCGCGGTAAGCCGGTAAGCTTTCGGAGCGTGCGGGCCCTAGGCTCCCCCGCCGGAGAGGACTCCCAGGTTTCTGAAGCTCGCGCACAACTCACGAGCCCTGCAGCCGCGCTGATGCAGACGCCCCCGAGCAGGCGCCCCAAGCATCCCGAATAGGACCGTCGTGAATGACTGAGGTGTTTTTGCAGGAGTTCGCCTCTTTTTTGTGGGCCTTCGTGTATTTTGTGTGGACACTGTATTTACAACAGTCCTGCTAATTGGAAACTTCGCCGGCCACTTGTGCTTTGCGAGTTTCGGACCAGCGAACAGGCATCGTGGGGACCTCTCGAGTGCTAAGCAGCAATGTCGCCAGCCACCTGTGCTTTGCGAGTGTCAGACAAGCGACCAGACATCGTGGAGACTTTTCGATGGCTAGAAACTTTTCCACAGATGTCCGCAACTATTGCACTCACTGCCTAGCCCTGTACCCACATCTAGCCCCGCTTGATGGGAGGGGTGAGCGAGGCACTGGGCGCAAGACGATCCCAGTACCTTGTCTGGCATACAAGGGAAATACTCGAAAGTACAAGTATCTCCCCTGAGTAAGAGCGGGGGGTGGCGGAAAAATTTGTGGTTCAAGCCCCCGACTTAGCGGAAAATGTAATCTACCGCTCCCCCACAGACACACAGTCGCTGCCGCGATTGCATGCACACTCTGCAGCTACCTGGTATGCGACAAGACGCGCACACCCCAGCCTAGCTTCTGCTGGACACCGAAACCGGCAGAAATGTCGCATCGCTTTCTTGAGATGATCAAGTAATAAATAAGTCCTCAATCCTTCTGTACAAACAGCGCCAACCTTCTGAGGGCGGCTTGAGAGGATATGGTTTCTGACTCCCTTGTACCATTGTCTTCATACTTGCAAATCACCGTCAACCTTAAGCAACTTCAAGAGTCATTTGCTAAGAGCACGGGGCCCCCGCGCCCTCTGAAAGCCACGGTGGCTTCGTCCTCGCCACTGTGCGGATTGGAATGGTTTGAAGGTTTCTTCAGAGTATGAGGCATGGCTAATAAGCGAGTTGGCTTGTGGACCTGGCATGCGCCAGCGGTCTGTGGGGGTGGAGCCTGCAGCCCATCGCACTTTCAGCGGGTTCAGGGCAAGGTGAAGGGAGGTACTTGACGGCCAGAGGCATAAGAAGCGAACGGGCCGACTTTGGCTGCCCGGTTTAGGTCTTGACTCCCTTCATGCCTCCAAAAGCTGGCCCTGCCACGAGCTGTGAACTGAGGACATGTCTGCGTGTGCTGAGATGTCTGCAGGAAGCATGCACCTGGCAGTCCCAAGCGAGGAAAACCATACTTTCTGCAGCTGCAGGCGGTGCATCTTTGCGGGGGGCCCTGCTTTGGGCTAAAACGGTCACGGTCGTCTGAGCAAGGCGCCCGGCTGAGGTCTGGACCGACTCCTTTTCTGGAGCTATCCAGCCCGTCGGAGTGGTCGGTAATGGGTCGGAGTCCCCGACACCGTCCAATGTAGCTTGCCAGCTGTGGCGGCCCAGGGCTTAGGGGTCTAAGTGGAGCTTGCGGCGTGTAGCGCGGTAAGCCGGTAAGCTTTCGGAGCGTGCGGGCCCTAGGCTCCCCCGCCGGAGAGGACTCCCAGGTTTCTGAAGCTCGCGCACGACTCGCCAGCCCTGCAGCCGCGCTGATGCAGACGCCCCCCATGCAGGCGCCCCAAGCATCCCGAAACTGGCGCTTTCTGAAAGTTTAGGCTTTCAAGCAAGTAGGCCGCCGACAGCTGGTTTGTCAGCCGCTCTCTAAGTGGGCCGCGAGGCCATGGCCCCTGGTTTGATGTAAGATCTTCCTCAAAACACAGCACCAGCACTCGACATCAGACAAAAGCGTCCAATAAAGCCGCACATGGGAGGTTCTCTAAATTAGGTTGCCTTTTAGAGTCGTTTTTGTAAGGGTGCCATACTATGTTGGGGACCTAAAAAGGAACCCTAATGTAGAGAGCTGACCGCATTGTAGCGGCTCGAAGCTCGTCGACATCGTACGTCACGCTGGAAGGTCAGTCTGAGAAAGGGAGTTTTGGCCTAGGCCCTCGCCGGTCGCTTCGGCTTGGTCTCATGGCTCTGTGCCTGGCGGAAGCTCCGCCAAGGGTCACGAAGTGCATGGAACCTTGGGGCAGGAGTCTATAGCCCTTCCTATCAGAGTAGCGGTGGCCACGGGACCATTACGTGGCAGCAACAGAATCCCGACGCAGTCTGGGCAGTCTCAAACGCATGACAGATGTGGGTCCACGAAGCAAGACTTGTCCGAATCTCACATGTATCCCCACTCCTGCCATTAGCTCTTCACGACATTGTGACATAGTGTACATGGGCCTGAGCATTCCTTCTCTTCCCGCCGTGCCACCATGGGTCCCAAGGGCCAAGAAACTTTAAGGGTTCCTGAGACGATCGGCACGATCCCACGGCTTTCGCTGACCAGGCGGCGAGCTTCGTTGATGCAGTAGATTTCTGTTAGATGCTAAATTCCAACTCTGCGGCGTCATGTTGGCCTCCTTTGTGAGGTTTCTTGTCATTTCCATGAGAGATCGATTACAGTTCTACAAGCCCTCAACAATCGGGCCGTGGCTGCCACAAGCTTGTTGTGTGATTCAGATGACGCGATCACAAGAGATCACAAGGATGACATGATCAACGAGGGCGCGTGGAGGTGCTTGATGTTGTTGGGACCTAAATCGCCGATTCCAGCCTCCCATGTGATTCCAAACTCAAAGCAATCGATCTACACAGCTCGACTTCACGCATACATCCCCCGATTTCAGTTGCTAAAATGGGGCATGTAAGCCTCATGATGTGTAGAGAGGGGGGATGTTTATGCCGAGCTGCGTATCTTGCCTTTCACGTTTGTAAAGCCAGCTGTCGTGGCTTGGCGATAGTCAACGCTCCTTCCCCGAAGCCAGAGAGCCGTCACCTTGTGTGGTCCGCCGTCCATGGCCATGGCGACTCTCTGAGAGCGCAGGTTGCGGCCTGCGAGCTCCGAGACTTCCGTGCGTCACGTCGAAGCTCCTCGCTTCGGAGACGCAGCCGCTTATGCCGACGGCGCCTCCCCGGCCCCCTGCATGCCCATTGCCAGCGTCGCCCCAGGCTGCTGTGGCCACAGCCGAAACTGCGTTTGATGCTCTTGCATGGCTCTGCCCTTGTTTGGGGCTTTCCGGGCCTGCGTCCAGCATGATGCGTGACAGAGATGTGAAGCGGCTCGTGCCAAGGCTGGTTAGAGGAATGTTTGATGTGCATGCCTCCAAGTTCAGTGCAAGATGCTTAAGGAGCTTCCGAGCCGAGTACCTTGCCTTCGCGATCCTTCGCGCTCCTTGACCGGCCGCAAGGATACCAGGCTAGCGCTCGCTAGCCTACTGGACTGAGCGGGCGACGTGATGCCAGAAAGGGGAACAGGGCGAAAGCAGCTGGGGTGCGTCACGCCTGGGCATGCCTCGGCTTTCTCGCAGCTGTGGTCAAATTCGCGTTGAGGGAGGGAGTGAGCATCGTGAGCATTGCTCTCGAGCCACGGCTAAATCAACATCTCCGGACACGGGTGTCTCTTCTCACATGCTGTCGTGCCATGAAAACTCATTCCGCCGGCTGCACATAGTCTGGAAGACGCTTCCAGCGAACAGCTCACACGAAGTGTTCTGCACTCCTGCTCAAGAATTAGACTATGCTGAAAAGTGCCTCCCGTGTGATGCTGCCTCTCTAAATCTCTCGGCACATGGCTCAGCTGTGCATGTAAAGACACCCCCCCTCCTCAGAAAAGCTTGCAACATCAGCTCCGTCAGCGAGCCGGGGTGCAATAAGCACCTCGCCAACAGCTTATGCTTCTTCGCCAGAGTGTCCTGTGCAAACCTGAAGGATTGCGAGGTCTTCAAGCTCCTGAATCGTGGCGTTGTCGCATGAAAGACTTCGTACAAGGGTGCGGGTGCGACTTCTTGGTCGACACCCCTTAGCTGTAATCAGATTTCCAACGGATGCCCACGCCGTACCGATGCAGAGCACCAAGCTTTCATGTTGGCTTCGGGTTTCAATTTCACGTAGCCGCATGACTCCACAGATCTTCCGGAGCTGCACCGGCGGCGCTCCCCGTGAAACGCGAGAGCACGAGCTTTTGACAATGTCGACTACATGCCAATGCCCTTGAACATCTTTTGAACGTTTGTGGATGTCCGAGTGAGGGAAGCTGCCAGGCGGACTTTCCTGATGATGACTGCTTTCAAAGTCACAACTCGTGACGGCATTTTGCTGCGATACTGTTTGTGCTGCACTGCAACCGCTCCTACAGAAAGCGGCGGTGACAATGATGACCACTAACCCATGCTTGTCTCGAACTTTTCGACTTGCCAGTGGTGAAAATTGCAGCCACAGTGCCTTGCGATCGGCGATGGAAGCAGAAGCAAAGAGAGTCTCCTGAGTGGCCACTGAGCTTCAACCCCACCCGGCCGAGAAGACCGCCCTCCCCTCCTCTTTGGGCCGAGGCGGATGTTGGGACTCTCGAAGCACCGCGCCAAGGAGGTCATTCTGCTTGGTGGTGAGAGAGTTTTGAGCACTCCTTGGTCTTTGGCCGCATGTTTCTCTGGAGTTCCCTGACCAAGTGAAAGTTCCCCTGTGACGCTGTGGCCTTTATTCCGACCTTGGAGGGCCAAGGTGAGGTCCAACCAAGTGCTAGGCTCGACACGGGCTTGCAATCATCTCGTCCCCAAAACGCGTTTGACGGAACAACGGCTTGAGCAAGCTGTGGTGCATGACACGGAGATCTTGCTTGTCTGGGGAACGTAGGACCGCAGAGGGGTGAGTTTACAGGATGCAAGGCTGACAAGATTCGAAGCAGCAACGTATCCAAAGTCTCTCTGGTGGCCATGCACCTCGGGGCAGCCAGGCCTCTAAGTGACTGGGACCCTGACTTATGCAAGTTGTTTCCGCCAGCAGGCTCCAAGCTTCGTCGAGGTTCCGCGATCACTCGTCCCTGATCATGCAGACAGCATCAGTGGCAGCGTGCTTGTCCAGCTTGCTTTGTCGGCACTGTCCAGCAGCGCCGAGTTTGGAGAAAGCCCTCTCTTTTTCACATGCTCCTCAGATGCTTGAAGCCCATAGAAGAGCCTTGACCGACTCAGCTTGGCTCTGCGGTGCTCCGGAGGCCGTGCGTCGTGGGGTTCGTTTGATAGTCGTGGATTGCTGGGCGAAGTCTTCGGCCCAGAGTGAGCCTGTAGCTAATAGCTTGTGGCGATTGCCCGACACTTGTGATGGCTCCCACAGCTGCAAAAAGCCCACTACGCTTCTGAAACACCATGCTATGCGCCGCGAGCACAGTAAGTGATGACTTTCCGGGACGCGTCGGTGGGAAGGGTTCCTGCGCCGAGCGCTGCCAGAGACTGTTGTAATTCGGGCATAGGTTCGGAGGTCAAGCCAGAACAGCAGCAGAAGATGGAAGCCGCCGAAGCAATCCAATTTTGCTTCTTACGAGTCTACCAGATTCTGCATGGGGCCCTCGTCGGAGCCCAGCCGCCGCAGGAGGGCGCTGGCGCATTTTGGCGCTGCAAGGTCACCGCCACGGACTGGGCTTCTGCAGCCTCGTCGCCCCGTCTTCGCTCCAAGCAGCCGTCCAGGAGCAGGACATGCCTGCGCAGCGGTGCACTGGGCGAATGCGTGCGTGTTCCTCGACAAAAAACCGCTGAAGGCGCGAGGGCCTCGTATACTCCGCGAAGCCAGTGGCAAAACCCGACAGGCGCAAGCCGCTTAAGCTACAGCAGCTACAGCCGAGCGGGAGCAGGCCCGGGCGCCGGCCAGGCGTCGCGACCTCCAGAGTCCGGCCAGGCTCCTCCCGAGCCCTTTCTCTTGCGACGAGACGGTGATTAGACGGTTCTGTCCTTTCACTCAGACTCGACGACTCCTCCAAAGAGCTGAGCGCCATCTTTTTGTGCCGTACTGGTCCGAGACCCCATCACCTCTAAGGGGGCAAGGCTGGTCCGCGGCCCCGTCTGCAAGAGCCTGAAGAGCGGGACCTCGATGTGCAAACCCAGTAGCAACCTCGGACGTTGAATGCCATGCCTGCTTTGCGAGTGTGTGAGTCGAAACCCAGCACCTCGCAAGGCAGTGGCTGGAGCTACGCGCGAGGCCAAAAAATGGATGAAGGGTGGCCTTGAAGCTTCGCCACAGATTGGCCTCTACAGCTGTTGCTGAGTAATTGGGGCCCCTGCTTTTGCCAGCATGCAACTTGCAGTCGCCTCGGAATTCGAGCTGGCAGATATCATGTGGACCGTGGAGTAAATCTCCTTCCAACACGGGCCCGCTATTGAGGACGAAGGACGATTATATCTCTGTATAGCGTGCAGAGCAGTGTCTCGATGCATGACTTGTCTGCGCCGGCATAGTTGTGCGAAGCTTCACCTTCCGGATGACTCTCCGAAGCCCAGGTGGGCTGTTGTCCTGTAATCGCGTCTTGCGTCTTGACCTCGAATGTCCACTTGAGTCCTCACTCAAGATGCTCAAGGCTCCAACCCCCAAAGGGACAGCTTCTTGAAGCGTCTTGAGCTGGAGACCCACACGGCCCACACGCATCACATACACGTGGCATGCGGAGTCTTCGGACTGTGCCAAGCGGGAGCCAAAAAACAGACACGTGGCTGTTGTCAGGGTGTCGATACGGAATTGTGAGAGATGGTGGAAGGCAGAAGGCCAGCAGCAAGGGCATGCAACAAGTCACAAGATATCACAAGAACTCTCAGCGCCATCGTGCATGACAGGGCCGCGCGGGAGGACAAACGTTGCATGTTCTAACCTACATCCCGAGCTTGCCTTGGTAAGGTATCGTCTCTGCGGACGCATGTCATTCGTTTCCTGTGGTCGTCCCCGCCGTCCCAAGGCATTTCGCCCTCAAAGTAGGCGAGCACGCACTCAAAGACTATTCCTCACAGATGCCATCCTACCTCGATTCACCTCATGAGGAGGCCATGCCATTTGTTAAGGACTTGCATCTGTTGGGGAAATTTCTTGGGCAGAGGTCCCGCAGTCCACCTGCAGAAGTGATCTAGGTTCGAGGGGCACGCGATTCCTGCGCTCAGTGTCCTTCTCGAGGATTTTTCCTTTTTGGAAATCTCGGAGTGTCAAGACAGGGCGTGGATAGCCATCTGCAGGCAGAGCCCTTGCTGTCGTGCTTATGCAACAAGTCGGAACTGGATGTAAGCTCCTACATGGTACATTCGCCGCAAGTTGAGCCAGTCTGGACAAGGAAGGGTTCAGGAATGTAGCCTCCACGCTAGCGCGTACGACATGCCTGGCAAAGGTCCGCCGCGCTGTCCCATAAGGCGGCTAGTGGGGTGGCACGCTTCTCTGCCTACAAGTGCGTGCCGGAAGTCGGAATCGTTGAAGTTTAGTTGAAGATTTCTGACAGGGCAGGGAAAGAAGCTTTGACCGCATCCGTGACGACCAGAGGCTCGCTGTGACCGTTGGAAGCAGGACATCATCTTGCGCTTCCGGGCGCCTGTCTCAAGGTGTGGCGCTGCCCCGGCTTACGCTGAAGCTGCGTGCGAGGATGACAGCCCAGAGATTTCGACATGGCCTCACCGGCTTCTCTGGCCAAAATTGGGCTCTCCCTGGCGTTGAAATCCTTGTCTTGAGGCACCGACCCATGCAATACAATAAGGCCGCAAAAGGCATCGGGCTTCGGATGCAAATGTGCCGGCGGCCACGGGCTTTAACGAAGCCGTACTGCGGAAGGCCCGGCACGCTGGAGCTGGATGGGCTCCTGTTGTCAGGGAGGGAGCAAGTACTTCGACGGCAGGATGCCATTGCCACGCGTGACATAGGCTTTGAATCACAGCCAGAGACTTCGAGATGTGCGACGTCACCTTGGTAAGTCCAGGTCTTGCAGGATCCACCAAAGCAACCAAAGCCCCTCAAGTGTTCTGGCCCGTCTTCGTGGTTCCCCCCACGCACTCTCGTCGCTCAGGGAGCGCCCGCAAAGCGTCGCCGGTCGCTTGTCTTTGATTCCCGTAGCTAAGCCTCCAGCCCTGAAGTCAGCCAAGTACATGTCCTAAAGCCTTGAGAAAGCGTCCCTGCATACTTCACAACACCCAAGAGCAGAGATCTAGGCTGCTGCATTCCCTGCGCAAGAGCTGTGCTCACAAAGCCCATGAAACCACGGGGCACCTTATCCTGGAAAGCAGGCAAGACAGTGCACTGCTCCTGGCTGAGGTTCATCTCAGAGGTCTGAGTGTCCTGCGGAGGCTACACCGGGAGTTCGGATTTTTAGGATGGCCTGGTGCCGGATGGCCTGCTTGCACTTGCCGGGGAGTGCTGTGCCTGGCCTAGCGCGAGCTGTCGGAATGGTTCCAGCTTCAGCTTTGTACGCGAAAAGCTGATGGGGGTTGCGGGGCTTATGCAAAAAAGGCTAGGGCCTAGGCTTGGGGAATTCAGAACTTGGGATGTAAGCTCCTCGTCAGACTGCAGCCTGTCATCGCAGAGCCCGGCGCCCTTTGCCAAGCCCAGGCCACACCGGAACCCACACACACAAAGGTGGCCCGGGCTCATGAACCCTTTCAAACAGGTCTTCAAGAGGAAGGCTTAAGGAGGCAATAGGGCCCCATACGGTTCAGGGCCTGTGAGAGGCCTATGCACTTCTGAGGTTCCTTCCCTGTGATCTTTGCGGTTCAGGGCCGGGTTGTGCTTCTGCTTGACTGGCACATCCCTTCTGGACACCTTTAGCAGCAATGGATCTTGGAGCTTACGGGCGGCGGCCTTGCGTTGCGTGGACGGCCAGCTTTGCTGTCCCAGCCCCGGAGAAGAAAACATGACGCAAGTCATGCATGTCGTGGTGAAATGCAGGCTGCGAGCTGCTTGTCCGAAGCTCTGCCAAGATGCATCTCTGCTACACGGTGGGCTGCGCCCCTGGCCAGGGTAGCGCGCCCTAAGCGGCAGCCTGGTGCCAGCTTGGCTTCTGGGAGCCCGCGGGTCGATGCCACGACCTTCAAAGCGTTTTGGAACTTGGCGCCACTTGGGTGTTGTGCGCCCGGCCAAAAAAGCAGTGAAGCGGGAGCGAGACGTGCCTTCGTGGGCGTTTGTTCTTTGGTGGAGCTGAGAAGGGCGCTTACTTTGTCTGTGTTGTTGGTTTCTCTTGCTTTGTTCTTTCTTATCGGTGCAAAGAATCTGCATGCCTGGTGCACCTAACAGCGTTACTACCAGAAGAGGTGTGATTGGAGTCCTTGCATGAGTTGTGCTTCAACCGCAACCAGTAGTGTTTGTTCGGTAGTTCAGAAGTGACACGCAAGTGTCCGGTCTTGGTATTCCTATCTCTAGCGCGAGGCTCGGGTAGCGTTGCAGGTTGAACCTGAGCCTCGTGTGTTTGGCGGTGTCGACAGACGAAACATTCCTGCCAACTGGTGCTCTTCATGTTTCTGTCAGCACATTCCACACCTGCCATGCCTGGAGAACACCCCTAATTCAACTTCTAGCTTTCCTCGCCTCAAAAAGACTGAACTATGACGGGCCTCGTCAGAAGATCTTGCTAGCCGCGAGCTCTCCCAGATTGACATGGATCTAGCCCTCTAGTTACATGATGCTTCTCATGAACCACAGAAAAGATAGGGCAGAAGGTACATATACGCGCGAGAACCACATACTAATCACGGCAACCCTGAACAGTACGTAGGCGTAGTGACAATAAGGGTGTACCATACTGGAAATCCCCGGCCAGCATCAACTCAACTCCCAAAAAATCGTGGAAGTAGTCCACCACCTGCTACAAGCAGCGATATCACCTACCTCCTCAGCCTGCGAGACATCGTGAGGGATCCAGCGATTCACGGGCATGTTCTTCGGTTATTTTTGGAAAGACCGGGTCTATCAGCACTTCAGCTCATCGACTAGTTCTGTAGACCTCCAAAGTCCTAGTAATTAAGGCGGGCATGCAAATCCTGCGAGATAAATGGCCGTGGGCGAAGAGAATCAAGCCCAGAAGATCAAGCATGCAAGACTGCCTCACAGTCTCTTTGCGATTGCTCTTCTTCATGAAGCTCCCGCCTGCCGATACAAAGCATGCAACGTTGTATGTGGATGTATGTGTGTGTGTGTTTGCGTGGGAAAGTGCAGACCTTGAGAATGCCGAGAGCTTGTGGCTCAGGCTTTTGTTGAGCACTTTTGAAGGCTGTAACTTCCACCTTACAGTATTGTACCGCTCCGTGCTGTGGGGCAATGGTGGGTGGATGCATTAACCTATCCTTTGCTCTCGTCATCGCAACCTCGACCCTCTTCTGCACACTCGCGGAAGATGCCTGTGATGCTCCGGCTCACAGCCAAGCCCGTGCTTTGCTCCAAAGCCACGCTGCTCGGGAGCACATCGCAAGCGTAGTGCAGGGATCGAATCAAAGCCAAAGCGATCCGTCAGAGGCCGGCGCATCCGCGATTTTTTCCAACCACTCCAACGCATCAGCCATCATTGCCCTGGTAGATGCATGTTTGCAGAATCACATGACAGGGGATGAACAGGAGCAAGCCTTATGGGACTTGGTGAGGACAGCTGAGATTCTCTCCAAGCTGACAGCTGCAAATGTCTCAGTGAAAGCTTTGGGCTCTGACTGGCCAGATGACAAAGCCGTGATCGAGGCAGGCATAGTATTATTAATTAAAATTCTTGTTCTTCTTATTATTATTATTAGTAGTATTATTGCTATTATTCTTGTTTCTAGATTGTTTTATGACTGTTGTTTGTTCAATACATACATGGTAATGCATAACCATGGCCTGATCGAGGCTGCGATGGTTGCTGGCCGGGATGCTGCAGAAGCCTTGGTCAGGAAGCAATTCGAGGCTGAGGCGGCGACGCTTCTGGGAGAGGCCAATTTGACTCAAGAGGCCATCGATCATTTCACGGAGAAGGTCGCTAAAATGGCTGAAATGTGTGGAGACTCCTCAGAAGCTCAGACATTGGCAGACGACGAAGCATCCATTATGTCGCGGAACATGACCCCAGAAGAAGCTAGGATTGCAAAGGAACTTGCTGACTATGTGGAAGGTCTTTGCCAGTCGGATGTCTTGGATTTGGATTTCTTTGTGGGCCGCCTTGCCGATGAGTCGCCGGAGTGCAATGCCCTGGTGGCTGACTCCAAGCTCCTTCAAATGCAAAAGCACCTCTCAGCGCTGGATTTCTATGCCAAGAGCGCCCTCGTCCTGCATGATGAGGAGAACCGCCTGGGCCATCACTTTGCCAAGAGGCTGCACAGGCACCAGAGGGAAGAAGCCGGGGCAGTGGAACCCTTGCTGATGCAAGCAGCCCTGAAGCATGGCTCCAGCAAGCCGAGGATGGCACGCCTTTTCTATTTGGACCGGCTTTACTACGATAAGATCCATGGCTTCACCAAGGATAAGTATTGCGATTCCAATTTTCGCTTGCAGAAGGAACGGCCAGAGCATTGGATCAGCCAGAGTCAGGAAATCCGGGCATATGTTAACTGCTTGTGTGTGAAGAAGCGGCCATCGCTCTGGTGCGATGCCCACCATGCGGAGCCCTTAGCCCTTTTGCAAGCGAAGGTGGTGCAAGAACTGCAGGAAGCGAGTCGCAAGCTGGACGCGGCGAGTGCGCTGCTCCAGCTTCAGACAAAGACGCCTGTTGGTTTGGGAGCATGTCAGGATGCCGATGGTAAGCCCGCTGCCTTTGATTGCTCCTTTTGCGTGAATGGCAACAACTGCATCAGCACCAGCGGGTCCTACAGCCTCGACGTCTTTGGAAGCATCAAGGACGGTGAGTAGCTTTGTGACTGCCTGTTTTGCCCAGCGGCATAACTTTCTCGAATCTTTTTGGCGCTCATTTGTGAGGCCGGGAGCCCTTCGTCAAAGCTTCTTTAGCATTGGGACTGGAAGGCCAAAGCACCCTGAAAGGAGATGTCAGGTGGCAGCGGAAAATCTGATCTAAATTGCTAGATGAAATCGACGCGGACAGTGGGCGGCAACCGAAGACCCGAACAGACAGGCTTCTGAACCCCAACCCCCAGGTTGTTCTCCTCAACCCTGCGCGCATGAAGCACGACGTGACAACAGGGGCGGCAAGCTCCAAAGGCAGAAGCGAAGACCCGGTCGTGGGAAGCCTTCGACCCCAACACGGGACACACTGGCAAGTGGCATGTGCACCCGCAAAGTGAGTAGACCCCTGCATTGGAGATGTGGCCCCAAACATGCAAACAGAAAGCAAGGGGCGCCGTGCATCTCCCGCAAAAGAAGTCACAGCAAAGAAATGTGTGGGGCAGCTTCCAATGATTGGGCCGGTTTCAAGAGCAAAGCATGTCAGAAGCCACGGGAAGCCAGAACAAGCAATGACTCCCCACTTCGCTCGAGGAGCTTATGGGCACGTCGGCCAGCTGTGTGAAGGGCTATTGCACTCCTTGCATGGGCGTGAAGCCGGGAGATCCTTTTCAGTTCAAGCTGGATATTGGAGTGGAGGTTTCAGAATGTGGCAGCACTGCCGCCTTCCTGGCCACCTATCACTACTTTGCGGAGCTCAAGCTGTGCATTGGGGGTGTCTTGGGGGAGGCTGCCGACAAAATCGGTTGGAGTCTTTGCCAAAGTCTTGGGAAATTGAGCTATCATCCCTTCATTAGCAAGGTCCACTTCGCAATGAGCCTCCCGATCCCGCTCCCCCCACCAATTGGAGTCGCGGCAAGCCTTGCTGTGAACTTGAACTTGGGAGATATCTCCCAGGCCTGTGACAACCATTGCGCCACCTTTGGTCCTTCTCAACACTTCCGATGCTTGCAGGAATTCTACGCTGCGAGGGGGGTGACAGGTGTGGACTTCAAAGTGGAGGTCCTGCTGGGTGTCAGCATCCCTTTTGTCGGCACTGTTGGCAAATGGTTCAAGGCTCGAGCGTTGTGCATTGCAGAATGTTGCGGACATGTATTGAGGAGTATCGTCCAGCGTCATTGACTTGAGCCGTCAGGTGCTTGGCTTCAGCTTCATGGAAGACGACAACAGCCGTGAGATTGCCAAGAACAAGGCTGGAGTCACTATTGAGTACATTGGTCCATCACATTGGAGATCCATCTGTGGCCGCACCTATTCCGGGGTGAACTGTGAGCCTTATGCTGGTGATGGGGACAACCGCGCCAACGAGGACTGCAGGGGCTGTGGAGATGACTTCAGCATTTGGCGCCCTGACCCCAACAATCCAAGGTCTCTCTGCATCAGGCGTGATGATTACAACGGTGGCTGGGGCATGCAGCTGGAGATTGCTTGCCCTGTGGACAATAGCAATCTGAAGGTTACTGGGTTAATTTATGTAAGTTACCATAACAAAGAAACCATATGTTATCTACTAGAGATCCCCATCATGGCAACTTAAATAAGATCCCTTTAGCAAGAGCCCAGGTTATCGTGCCTATCGGCTCTAGCTCCGTGAACACCAAATGCGCCATGCCCGACGAGCCGGTGACGTGCCGTGCCGACGGCGGGAACCAGGGCGTTCGGCTGGGCTTCGACACGCACGGAGATTCCTACTCCGTGTACCAGGCCCAAGAAAGGGACAGAAAATTCTGCAGTAAACTCTCGCAAAACCGTGGAACTGCCAAGCCATGACCAATGATGAAGGGGTGGAGGATAGAAAGTCATCATCACAAGCGTGTTCCTCCCATGCGCCAGTGCTTGACTATGTCGAAGAAACCATATTACCCTTGAAGCATTTCCGGCTTTCGCTTGTGCAGACTTATCGGACTCTCTGTAAGTTAAAAAATTTTCGGCGATGTCCTGCGAACGTCTGCGACCAGTCCCTGTGAGGATGGGCACCGATGGTGCGCGCGCAGGACGGATCACGGTGGCGGCTGGGGGCTCAACCTCCAGCTCGAATGCGATCCAACCGGTGGATCCTTTGGCTTCCAAGTGCGCAACATTCACATGGGCAGCAGCGACGCCAACATGAAGTGCCTGCTGGTTACCCACGAGATGAGCTGCGATGCGCACACAGCTGATTCAGCATACCGTACCAACGACGATTGCAGAGGTTGTGGTGACTCTTTCTATGTGACTGTCGACAATCCATGGGGATATGTCTGTGCCCGCAGGACAGATTTCCATGGTGGCTGGGGCTTAAACCTTTGGTTCAATTGCAACAGTCTCCAGGACAATGTTCGAACCAGGCGAGATGTGCACATTGGCAGCAGCCATTCCAACAGCAAGTGTGTCTGGGGCGGCTCCATGAACGTCATGTGCGCGTCTTATGCTGCAAATACTGGCTATCGCCGAAACAACGATGCCCATGGTGATAGTTTCGAGATCACAACCAACGGTGGGACCGTTTGTGCCAGGCGGACGGATCACCACGCAGGCTGGGGTCTGGATCTGCAGATCTCCTGCATTGATCGATAAGCTGAAAACCTGAGCACGTCAAGGCTTTAAGGAAATGGAGCCGAGCCGCTAAAGCATGGCCGCTCCCCGGGAAAAGAAGTTGCCTCTGCTTCTGGTGTTGGTACTGTGCGCTGGTGGCATATCACGTAATTAGGGCAAAGTCGAATTCAGTGCCTTTCTTCTAGTCAACCTCTTGTCTGCCCTAACTTGCTGTGGTTGAGGTAGCTCCGAATCCTGCGTTATGTTGTCTAGCATGGGGTTTGACAAGCTTCTCTGTACATCAGACTACACCCTATCTGTGCGCCGGGTGTCACGACCTTCATGCTCTAGTCAATTCTGTTTCTTATTGAGACTAAACAAGTGTTACGAGTCTGCCGTGCGCTCCAGGTCAGAACCAAGGTCGCGAACTTCTGCCTTGTATATATCCGGGGCCATCCGGGTAGGCCGCGACGATCTTCATGTCAGGGAATTCTGGTCTACTCTACGCGGTAACTCGAAACCGGCAGCAGTGGCGGGTTTGGTATGTTTACTCAAGCCTCCAGCTGGCCCACTCCCACGAGATCCTGTGAAAGCCTTGGTCCGTTCGGTTGCTTTGACGTTCATTCTGGCTCCAGAGTATAGGCAAGAATGCAGCTCCTAGCTCACTCATGCTCATGGCAAGGCTCCTAAGACAGCAATACCGTGATTGAGACTAGCTTGAGGGGGTTCTGCTTGCTCCATTGGGGGCGCTCGCCGACTCGGCGCATCACCTATCTTTGCCATGGAGATAGTCGTCCTTTCAAGGCCCTGCTTGTTTTACCGCTTCGCTCGCTTCGCTCTTACATAACTACTTACCCATCCGGTATCCAAGGGTCTAGTGGAGGATTGCAGCGAAGCGGAGGGTTGCTCATCATTTCGGAGACTCTCCTCGGATGGATGGTTGCACAGCTTCCAGGCAGGCAGAACTGGGATTCCTGGCACGGAAATCGTGCAGCTCGTAAGCCACAAGGGCTCCCTCTTCGCTTCGGTTGGCTACTGGATGCATCCATCTCACCACCCAGGTCGGATTTTGCGTCTGGATTGTCCAACTTGCGAATGGGAGATGGAGCACCCAGAAGAAGGCAATGTGTACATGAGTTATGTGGTACGACTCGAATGTCTGAAGTCCGTCAGATGGACAACGCAGAGCGGCACCGATGAGTTGTTGCATGCCACTGGTTACTTGGACTGGCTGGGAGAAGCTCACTGCGTCTTTTGCACGCGCAACGACGCCACGAAGCTTTGGGCATGCAACCCCTTCTACAAAAGCACTCCTTTTACAGAGAATGGCTTCACTGGGCGGTCCATGATCCATTACGAGGACCCCATCACCGGGTTGGAGCAAATCATCCTTCCGACAGGAAGGGATGGCGCGACTCGGGGCCATTACGATCCGAGCAGCCCTGTCCGCGTGTCGTTCGACTATCATATCGAGTCTGGCACAGAAAATCTTCCACAGCGGCCACTCGCAGTAGCTGAAATGGATGGTCATGTGTACATGGCTGTTGGCCCACTCCTCATGAAGCGATCACAGGGAAAGACGGACGCAACGTGGACGACGGTTCTCGATATGTTGCAGCATGACACTGGGGTAACACAGACGGATGAGGCCGTTGGCGGACTCCGCGGTCTCACTGCAATTGACAATCCTGCAAGTGCTACTGGTAAATCCTTGCTGGTGGCATGGAACCCAGATGGACGCTCACAGGGTTGCATATATCGGTTAGATCCGAAGGCAGATACCGATGGCTTCGACTTGGCGCTCGAGAAATGTGTCAAACAAATTATGAGGGAGAGTTACGACCCAAATGGGAAGTTTCCTTATGCGCTTGCGGCCTACAACGACATCCTGGCAGTGCCCGCAAGAAACGGTGGCATTGTTCATCTCATTGGCTTCATGGTGCTTCTATGGGGTCCCACTGCCCATTCCCTTCCTGCGAATCCTGGCCAATGGAACTTGGATGCGACTACGGAAAAGGGGGGAAGTTATCGGGCAGGTGGTGGTTACATGATTCGTCGGTCGAGTTCAGATTATGAAGCTCGCGAAATCGGTGGAAGGAGATGCAACCCAGACCAAGCAGATCCAGTGCTAACATCAGTTCGAGCATATGCTTTGTCCCCATTCCCCGAACAGAAGGGTGTTTATTTCGGTGGCTACGACTGCAATTTCTTTTCGTCCAGCAACACTGCTTGGATCTTCTGGGGCTCAGACTGCGCCACACATGACGATCCAGAAGTCGCAGCTCCTGGCTGCGTGCAGCCTTCGGAACAAGGATCCAGTTGCACCGCAATCTCCTCAACCACAACTACAACAACTACAACTGCACCAGAACAGACGCCTGAAGAGGGAGGCAACACTACGACCATGACAACTGCAAGTACAGACAAGTCGACAAGTCCGCCGACGAGCACATCTCAGGCGGATGCCACGTCGCATGCAGAGGGAGGCAACACGACGGCCACAACAGCAGCAGTTACTGACAAGCCGACAGGCACTCCTCAGGGTCAGGAGGGTCAGGTCAGTAGCATCTCGCGGCGACAGTCTTGCCTCTATGTCCTTCCTTGCGTTCTGCTGCATTGGCAGTATTGGTTTACAGGACTCTAGCTGCCAAGTTCCACATCAACGTCGCGTCTTGTCTGAAAGTAACAAGTCGGACAAGAGATTTCATTTGAGCTCTGAGGGGTTTTCGCCCAGAGGCCGAAGGCACGGGGCTGTCCCTCAGAATGGAACAGGTCTGGGCAAGCATAGCTCAAAGGTTGCCCCTAATATAGGAACCTGGCATCCGGATTGTGGCGTTTGCCGTAAAAGTTAAAGCATCAATTATATCGATATAGAGGGCGAATACGACATCATCGGGTCTTTGCGAACAAATGGGTCTGTCAATTTTTGGGGGGGTTCAATTTGTAATAATGGAGGGAAGTTGGCCTTGCGCGAAACACACCCCGAAACATACCCCTGAAACATACCCTTGGGAACAGACCGGTTTCATCTAAACCGGTGGCGAGGTTTCTTGGTGATCTAACATCTCGATTTGCCACGTTGGCTCCAGTTTTTAGAAGTCATGTAGTCAGAAGAAGGATTGCGCCAGATTTTGAAACTGACGAGGGTTCCCATAACATACCTGAATTTGCCCCAGGTGACTCACTGGCCATTTCCTTTTTGAAACTGTACTAAGCATATGGGAAGTCAACTCCCGAACCCCAAACCCCAAGATCTGTCAACTCCCGAACCCCAAACCCCAAGATCTTCAGAGCTTCAGTGATTCGTCAAGAGCATTCCTGGCACTCCTTGGTTGGAGGGTGGCGCCCAAGGCCCTCGACCTCGATGGCGCAAGCCAACCCAGGTCGTTCGCCCGCCTCCCGTTCAAAGGTCGGTAGCACCCACGATGGGCCCGGCACCGGAACACGTTCTCCTCGGGACCAGTACTGGTCCCTAACAAAGTAATTTGGGGGGGGGTACTCCAAGCCGGCCAGGCGGTTCCGGAGCCTCCAGCGAGCAGATTTCTGGGGCCTAGTGGACTTCGGGCCAGTCCTAGAGGGGACTTGGCGGCCCTCAATTCTCTTTACCGCACGCAAAGTATCCACAGTTGCCAAACAAAGAGCCCTTTCGGGTTGTACATAAAATTAGTCGCAAAACCCTAACCAGACGCCTCTGATATGTCGGTGCTGACGGCCTTCGCTGGACCCTGCGCTTGTAAAAAAACCAAGCCTAGAACCAGACCCTCCAACCAGGCCCATGATTAGCGCAACCAGCATCTGGGAGGGTATGCCCCAGGCCGCGCGAAACATACCCCGAAACATACCCGCGAAACATACCCCAATCCCAATACTCCTGGTAGGGCTCCTGGGCTCCTGCTATTCTGACAAACCCAAATTGACCACTTTTATTTCGGCGATCTTGGTATCTGTTAAAAAATTTTATGACTTAAAATTCCAAAAATATATTCACGAAAATGATTGCATTAGAAGTTAAATACTATATTCAGAGGAAAAGATTTTTCAGGGAAAAATTAATGAGATATTCATTTAAAGAATATGAAAAATGATATTATTGTTAGAAAATATATATTTCTTTATTAAATTAAAAATGTATTTATAATTCTTGATAATTTCGATATCGATTTTTTCGATAGAAGCTTTATATATTAATTTATTTTATTTTCAATTTTAATGATAACGCTTAATTTAAATATATATATTTATATATATATATCGAATTTCGTTATAGGTTGCGAAAATATTAATGAAATATACTCAGAATTTTTATCGATGTAGTACAGCCCTGCCGCCTCACGAAGAAATATCGCGATATAATTTTAAATATATAGCTGGAAACATAAATTTCTTCGTGGATTTTTTTATCAGAATACGAATATCAAGTAGCAGGTAATTTTCCTTCGAAAATAAACAAGAACGAATTTAAAAGAGCTCGCTTTTATACCAGCATAAAAAGAATAGACTTTAATAATAAAATATCTCGCTTAGTTGTGGAACTACAACCGAGCTTCCCAATTCAATTCCTATCAAATTCAGACATCAAAACTAATAATATAATAAATCAAAAATATACATCCGGCACCTATCTATTTCAAATTCCAATTATTAAAAGAAAAAAGATAAATAAACTATCAGCCGAGAAAAAAATCTCTTCAGAAATTGGAAAATAATCAACACAAATACTTATGTAAATAATTATATATATAAAAACTATAGCTATTTTAAGAATCTCGGTAATTTTCCAAAAAATTATAATATTCGTCTATTCTCGAAGATATTATGTCAGTCGTACAGCTCGAAATTTTCGCCTCGCTATTGCATTCCGATTTCGTTATTTATTTATATTGCACTAACATATATCATACCTTATTCAAAATAATCAATGAAGCACTTGGGCATTAATTGAAGGTCAATTGTTGTCACACAGGACACAAGCCCGCGAAAAACAGCTCTTATGGATCCTCATAGACTACTAGACCTGGACCTTCGAACCTACAAACAACTGC